CCCGGTTGATACTAAGTCAAAACTCTCCGCCACTGCTGGGCCAGCTGCCTCTGATCCTTCTCTCTACCGCTCCATTGTTGGGGCTCTGCAGTACCTCACATTCACACGGCCAGATATCACTTATGCAGTGCAGCAGCTTTGCCTCCATCTTCATGCTCCAAGAGAGGCGCACCTGACAGCTATGAAGCGGGTTCTCCGCTACCTCCGTGGCACCGCCACTATGGGCATCTCACTCACCCCCTCTTGGACGGACATACTACAGGCCTATTCAGATGCAGATTGGGCTGGCTGCCCAGATACCAGACGCTCCACATCCGGTTACTGTGTCTTCCTCGGTGATAATCTAGTCTCCTGGTCCTCCAAGCGACAAGCCACCACCTCCCGTTCCAGTGCCGAAGCTGAGTATCGTGCTGTCGCCAACGCAGTCTCCGAGGCCAGTTGGATTCGGAACCTACTACTTGAGCTGCGACATCCCTTGCAGCGTGCCACTCTTGTCTTTTGCGACAATGTCAGTGCTGTCTACCTCTCCACCAATCCAGTTCAGCACCAGCGCACCAAACACGTTGAGGTAGATATTCACTTTGTTCGGGATAAGGTCGCACTAGGGCATATCCGAGTACTTCATGTTCCATCCTCCTCTTCCTGGATTTTCGCACAAGCCTAGGGATTCGTCCTCCACCACAGCCGACGTAGCCGGGAGCATGTTAAATATATTTACCATATATATTTATGTTAAGTATATTTAATGTATTTATTATTGTATCATTGTATTATTGGTAGTTACCTTTTGTATAGGGTTCCTACTCGTATTAGGAGTCCCGTCCTGTCTATATATACGGTTGTACTCCTACACGTTTAATCATCGAAAATATTCATTCTTCAGTGCATTTGTCATTAGTGCTGGGTTGGGAAAACCGCAAACTACAAAGCGAACCGAATTCGATCAAAACGAGCTAGAAAAAAACCGAACCGAAAAAATCGAAACCAAATGTAAAAACCGAACTGAACCGTTATTGTTTGGTTTTCGTTTTGAAAAACCGAATTGAACCGAACCAAAAAATTTAACTTTTTAAGGTAATTCTCTTTATGTCTATGAGTATATGTAATATGCAAAAAAAAAAATCATAGAAATATAAATGCAAATAACTGATTAGTCTATTATAGTTATTTTTTCTTAACTATTAAACATTTTAAACCATAAACTTTAAAAAACTTAGAAATTTAAACACTAATAACTAATCCTAATACGAAGTTATATTAGTATTAAAAATTGATACAAATAATTGTAAATGAAACATATTTTAAAATGAAAATGAAACTATTATACCTAAAAAGGTAAATTCTCGGTAATTGATATTTATATACAAAAGCTTTGGAAGTACTTGGAATCTCTTAGATGTTTGTTGGGCACTCGACACATATTTTTTATGTAAAAATGAACGGAATCGAACTCTAACCTGTTCGGTTTTTTGGTTTGGGTAAATTAAAATCGAACCCAATCCTACATATTTTAATTGCTTCATCGAGATTGTGTTGTTAAAACTTTTTTAATGCCTATAAACTTTAATTTTTAAAAAACCGTCAAAAGAAAAAAAAAATCCAAAATAAAAACCGCATAAAACCAAATTGAGTATAACCAACGGTTTACATATTTTTGGTGTAAAACTAAACCGCCAACTTACCTTTTGTTGTCTTTGGTTTTGACTTTTGGGTGAAAACCAAACCCACCCCTATTTGTGATTGCTTTGTTTGTGACTCTAAAATTACTTTTTGAAATATGCTATTTAAAGATTTTTTATTTAAGATGACCCCTCCCTAAATTTTAAAATTACAACACCCAAAACAAGTCGAACTTAAAAAGGGGGTAGGGAGAGTATGTAGCCAACGAAAACATATTATAGAGATCGCCCTGAATAGGATTAAAACATACTGAGTAAGATTTTAATGTTTTTATTCCCGAAATAAGACTTCGCACTGTGGTAATATAACACTGTATGTCTGCACATTATTATATTTTTTGGTAATGTACATGACCATGTTTGGTAATGTAAATATATTTTAAATCTTATTTCGGGAATAAAAATATGGGAATCCTATTTTGGTATATTTTAAATGTTTTAATCCTACTTTAGTCTTTCTCCTCCCAAACATATTACGAAGTACTCCATATCACAGAATAAAAGCTGAAAGGGGTCTTGTTTAGAACTTTAGAATTTACATAGTAAAAAAATTTACAGCAGAAAAATGTATTTGATCATATATAGCATAAAAAAAATCAAATAAAAATCATGCCAGCGAGAGCACAGGCCAGCCAAGAAGTGGAGGTGGTGAATCTGGAAGGGCTGATTGAGAGAAGACGCTCAGCTCCACATACCCCTCCGAAGGAGTGCCCTCCTCCCCAGACCGAAAAGAAACTGACCTCGGTCTTCCTGAGTTTGTACAATGACTGTTTGCTACACTTGATCCCAGATGACTTCTGTTAGTGATTTGAGAGATTGTGTCGTTAAGTTCACCACCGCCACTTATTCTTCTGCTATCTTCTGTGTCTCTGTGTAGGTTCCTCAAAGCCAGAGCGTCTGAGACAGGAAGGTAAACCAGCACGCAGATGCCCACACCAGCAGATAAGAGGAAGGATATGAAACCCAAGAAAGTGAGAGTTTCGAAGACAGCTTCTCCTGGGGCAGATAGAACAGAAAGACCAAGAAATACAAACCTTATTGGGAAGAAACCAGAAAAAGAAACAATTAATGTGTAGACCCTCCTTCGCAAACCCTTATTTATGACCAAATGGGTGACTTGTCTTCCGAGCCAGGACAAATAACATGCAATGATGATAGAGAAAAGACCAGTGCAGATGATACTTAGTAGAGGGTAAGCACAGAGGAGGGCAATATAGTCATCATCGCCTTTAGTCTTAGGTGAAACAGCCACACTTGTAAAATAGAGGGGCAATCTCTCCTTGTAACCATCCTTGTTAAATTTTGGCCCGAGTAATATCACAACAAGCTGAAGAAAGAAGATGGGCAGAGAGAGAAGAAGAATATAGCAGCATGTTTTGATATTCCACTTTTGACTCAAGGTCCCTGAGTTCTGCAATGATGCATGTAGGAGAAATACAACTGTGAGAAATAGGCATGGTTCCATGAACCCCAGGTTTGAAACAATGTGACATTTGCAGATATTTTCCTGCCATTTCCAGTTAATAGCATTTAGTAGTCTTCCACTACGTCTCCAAAGACTCAGCCGAAGAATCTCACCAAACCCCCAGAATATTGCAAACAGGATGAATGCAATTCGGATAATCCACGGACCGTTGAAATAACAAAGTTGGACCTTCCCTTGGCTGCGGATTTTATTCCGGAAGTAGAAAGAATACAATACGCAAAAGAGTCCAAAAAGAAACAGAACGCTAACAAGACAGATTGTCAACACACCAAGTGCATCAGCAACCTTCAGGTGGGGCATTACCCAAAGCAAAAATTCCAAGCATGCTCTCTGTTAGCATGGAGACCTGTGTATCCTCTGGTAAATGAACCCTCGATCCTTTACGAAATGAAATATTCAGGTTGAAATTGGAAATTTATTGTAAATGCCAAAAGAAACACATGATCATTTTGACAGGCAAACTTCTAAGCCCCGGGAGTTCTGTAAATGGAATTTTGGTTGTTTCAACATCTCCAAAGCTGAGTTGCTGATGGAATTTACAACATCGACGTAATACCAAATCTCTTAACACTATTGAGCACCATAGCAATCAGACTCTTTAAATGTTAAGCCCTTGAAGCCTGCTAGAGCCAAAGGACCTGTAATAGATAATGGAAGATATATGATTTATTCATCCAAACAATAAAAAAAATAAAAAAGAAGAGTGAAGAGAGTAAATATGTCAGCAAAAAATTAACAGATGAAGCCCTAACACTAGCAACATCACATCTGATCAAATGGAGAAGAAACCGTTTGTGGGAAGATGGAAAGGGGGCACTTATTGCAGAACAATTTGTGTGGCGTACACATATAGGCATAACAGAATAGTAACACATGAATGTTTTAATGAGAAATTTCCCATAGAGAGAGGTGAAAAAATTAAATACTCATCTAAATACACCAAAAGGGCAGAAGAGTTTTAAAAAATTACTGACATCCATAATTATATGAAAAAACAAGGTAAGATGCAGAGAAACCTCTGTGAACACAAAAAAGAAGACTTGTCAATTGAGAAACTTGGATAAAGTTGAGAAATTTACACAGATTTAGCAATTAAATAACCATCAAATAGTGAGTATGAGTTTCTGTTTTTTTTCAAACTTCAATTCGGAAATGCCATTATCATGCAAGAGTCCCCAAATCACACTAGATTATCGTACCCTTGATTGCATGAAATCAAACAAATATGAAGCACGTGTTTCTGCTTGTTTCTAAACATATAGATTCAAAAAGAGTCCCCAAATAACACCAGAATCTAATATCATCAGTTGGACGAAACCAAACAAATAGGGAGTACGAGTTTCTGCTTGTACACACACATATAGATTCGAAAAATCCATTATCTTGGAAGAATCCGCAAATAATGCCAGAATTTTTGTATGATTGGTCGCACGGACAAATTATACAAATACTAACACAGTATGACATTAGAACAACACTATGGTGGAGGTAAACATGCATTAACATTGGACATCACAGAGAAATCCTAGCCCTAGGTCCTAGCCATGACAATACAGAGACGGAGAGGCTTCGGGCAAGAGATGAGAGCTTACTGATCGCAAATGAAGGATCCCCCGGGCACTGACGTGAAATCGGGAGGTTAGCGGGATCAGCTCGAGGAAACCCTAAAAAAAGGAGAGGAAGTCTGAGGGAGGAGGGAAGGAGGAGAAAACAGGGGGAAGAAGAGGACTCGGGAGAATGGAGTGACAGAGTTTCGAAACAGCCTGTCCACAGCAAATTCTTGCGCTACCCCCATTTTTTTTGCACATAATGATTTGGTATCTAAACTTTAAAATATTTCACAAAAAAATTTTAATTTTTAGAATCATTTTACTATTTCCTCCGTCCCAAATTATTTGCCACATTTGTATTCCCGAGGCAAAATATCAAGTTTTTTCAATTCATTTTATTTACATATTGGTATAGAAATAAAAAATAAAATTTACATATAAAAAAACTACATGAAAAGTTCTTCGAAATAAGAGGTGTCAAGAATATTTTATTTTATCAAATAAACCCTCCGAACAGCCCCCAAGAGATCCTCGGGTTGGAATGTGCCATCCGCGGGTTCAAATTTTGTCGAAATGTCATCCGCGTATTGCATCTTGAACCGTGGGTCCATCACAGACGCGATCGCCAAGGGCAGGTAGTTTTGTCTCATGTACTTGTCAAGCCTCTTGACCATTTTCTCTGCAATCTTGAGGGTGAAAGCATCTGGACTAGCTGCTTCGGCAAGTAAACTTGCACGAAGCTCTTGAAGATTATACAGAAACAAGTTGGCAGTTGGGTTTTTTACCAGAAAAACCTTTTTTGCCGTGTCATTGACGCGTTCAACCAGTCCATGGACGGCCCGAACTTTCTCCCACTCATCCGCGGATGGAACGGAATAGTGATCGGTTACCGATGCTGAACTGAACTCTCCGAGAGCATCCAAGTCCATAACATCTTTTATTTTTTTGTTTGTCAAGTGCCACATGCATTCTGATTTTGACCAACACAGTTCTTTAAGCATACTGATGATGTCGGATACCTCTTCAAATGCATCTTCGGCCATTAAACCAAACATTTCAGCACAGCAGCTGACGCGAAACAGCCGAGTTTCAGATGGGAGCATATTCCTCTCTTTGATTTGAGACTCAATGGATTCAATGGTTTCGTCAATGGTATCATCATCGCGGGAGGTGAGAGTATGGACCTTACCTGTGAGGCTGTAGTCATCCAATGTTTTCACAATTACTGCATCAATAAAATCAGAATTCCAAACATCATATAGCCTGAAATGAAGAACCCAATTCTTCAGTTTCCAGTTGTCATCGATGAAGTTTGCTGCCAAACGTACATAGTCAACGATCGCGCCAGAGCGCTTGTAGTCACTTAACATGTCAACAGAGAGAGGAATTAGTCGGCCCATGTTGTTTAAAGTGCGTTTAACCTCAGCTTTTGATTGTTCAAAATTTTTCAAACAACGATTTTGTATTGCTTTAGGATTCAAGATACTGATTACTGTGTCATAGAAGGCATCAACAAATCCATCTTCCATATCATCGCTTCCATCTTCATCTTCCACGCCATCACTTACATCTTCATCTTGAATATCATCACTGCCACCGTCATCTTTACTTTCATGTTCATCTTCCATTTCATCAATACCATCTTCCTCAGAATCCACCTCATCGCTATCATTTCCTTCACTCTCATTGGAACCATTTCCTATTCAAGATTAACAAGGCACATTGAATGACATCAATATGGCTCTCATCTGTCTTGGTATAAGAAACACAAAGTATAATAGTAAAATACGCATAAGAACTTTTCATCTCGAAGCTAAATATGTACACCCCCATCCCACAAAGTGAAAAAAAATAAAAAGAACATTTTTATTCTTAAAGTTGCTCACATTTGCTACTATCATTGTTTTTTTTCAATTCCAGAGAATATGGAACTAATTCCAAAAGTTAGACAATAATTTCCAGAAAATCATAAATTATTCTGTTTGATTTAGATTACATCTTTTATCATATCAATAATTCACTACTCTCTCCGTCAAACAATAAATTTCTCAATCACTATTCACATGGTCAAACTTTATTCACTTTGTTAGCCTATTTTCGTGTCCTATTCGATAAAATAGTCATATCACCTCTAATTTTGTAGATCTTTTCATGTAGTTTTTAAATATGTAATTTTTCTTTTTTAATTCCATATCATCTTTCATATAAAATGATTTAGCTTCAGTCAAACAACGTAACGCGCAACGGGAACTTTATTTATAGACGGAGGGAGTACTTTTTAAAAGAAGTGAATGGTAGATATGGCAAAAGAAGTAGAATGTCTTTTCTAAAATGGAGTAAAAATTTGGGAAGGGCCTTTTAAGAATAAAAATGAGAGGTAGATATGTAGATTCGGGAACATAAAACAACAGACAAAACCAATATTACTTCACAAAGTTTAAAAAAAGTGTTGGAAAGTAGAAATTTGTTTAGAAGAAAGATTAAAATTGTGGTCCACATATACCTTACTTTATTAGGTACGTAAAGACTGTAAAGAAGTAGGACAATTATTTTGGGACAAACTAGTAAGAAAAGTAGGACTATTACTTGGGGATGGAGGGAGTATATATCAGCAAACACAAAAAATCAAGCAGGGGCATCTCCATAAAAAAAGCCACAAAAAAAAAAGAAGAGGAGATGACTCCTAAGTATCAGTCATCCAAACAGAAAATTGGGTCTGAGTGCTATATATGCAACCTCATAAAATCCATCAAAACATTGCATCCTAGTGGCAAGAAACTAAGAATGCACATCTTATAATGATAATAATAGTAATGATAATGATCAATAAGTAGTCTAACCAGACTTCCCAAGCTTCCAGCTCCAAGAATACATCATAGCGTTCATCGCTTCAGAGCCAGAAGTTATGACACGGCGATCTGCAGGTCTATTCTCAATGTAATAATAAGCATCGTAAGAAGTTGCAACCGACATTGGAATGGCCAGAATATCGCGCGCCATTTTAGACATGTGCGGGTATTTGGGACCACCTATGGACTTCCACCATTGTAGCACGTCAAAGCTCTCTTCCCATGCTAAGACAGGCTCCCCCAGATACACATCCAAATCATTCGGCGTGGTGCCATCAGAAGAGTAATCTGAATAAACCCTCCGAACAGCCTCCAAGAGAGCAGTGCGTTGCAATATGCCATCTGTGGTTTCAAACTTTGTCAAAACTTCATCCACGTATTGCATCTTGCAACGTGGGTCCATCATGGACGTAATCGCCAAGGCCAGGTAATTTTGTATCATGTACTTGTCAAGCCTCTCGACCATTTTCTTTGCAATCTTGAGGGTGAAAGCATCTGGTTTAGCTGCTTCGGCAAGTAAACTTGAACGAAGCTCTTGGAGATGATACAGAAAAAAGTTGGAAGTTGAACTTTTAACCAAGAAAACCTTGTTTGCCGCATCATTGGCATGTTCAACCAGTCTATGGACAGCTCGAACTTTCTCCCACTCCTCCACAGATGGAACGGAATTGTGATCAGTTACTGACGCTGAACTGAACTCTCCGAGAGCATCCAAGTCCAAAACATCTTTTATTTTTTTATTTGTCAAGTGCCACATGCATTCTGATTTTGACCAACACAGTTCCTTAAGCATACTGATGATATCGGATATCTCTTCAAATGCGTCTTCGGCCATTAAACCAAACATTTCAGCACAACAGCTAATGTGAAAAAGGCGAGTTTCAGATGGAATCATATTCCTCCCTTTGAATTGAGATTCAATAGATTCAATGGTTTCATCAACGGTATCAGCATCACGGGAGGTGAGAGTATGGACCTTACCTATGAGGGTGTAGTCATCCAATGTTTTCACAATTACTGCATCAATAAAATCAGAATTCCAAACATCATATAGCCGGAAATGAAGAACCCATTTCTTCAGTTTCCATTCATCATCAACAAAGTTTGCTGCCAAACGTACGTAGTCAATGATCTCCCCAGAAGGCTTGTAGTCACTTAAGATGTCAACAGAGAGAGGAATGAGTCGGCCCATGTTATTCAAAGTGTGTTTAACATCAGCCTTTTGTTTCTCAAACAATTTCAAGCATTCCTTCTCAATTTCTTTAGGATTGAAGATGTTGGCAATATAGCGCTGCATCAATATTGCATTAATAGCCTCATATTCATCATCCATATAATCACTGCCATCTTCCTCGTCATCTTCCACCACATCATCACTGCCATCTTCATCTTCCACATCATCACTTCCACCTTCAACTTTACCATCATTACTTCCATGATAATCTTCCGTAGGATCCACCTCGGTATTGCCATTTCCTCCACACTCACAATGAATGGAATCATTTCCTATTTCAAGATTGGCATGGCACATTGAATAACACCATTATGGCTCTCCTTTGCTCTCGGTATAAGAAACGCAAAGCATAATAAAGATAGGAACTTATCTCGATGCCAAAAATGATTTTCAAAAAGAATTCATAAAATATCACTCGAATTAATAACAATCATCAATCCCTAGAGACTACTGGTTTGATATATTCTTAATGGACTGCCTTTTTTTAAGGGAGCAATTTTTTCATTTTTAATGTAACTATATGAGATGGCTTCAATGAGAACATTTAAAAGCTGGGTACATAGTACTCCCTCTAGACCATGAAACTAGTCTCACTTCTCATTGATTTATCGAGTACAAAAAGTCATAGTTTTCATGTTTTTTTATGAATGTAGATATATCTTGTGCATTTCAACTTTTAAGGATTGTTTGTTTACTAAACATAAAAAGTTGCAAGCTCATAAAAGTAGACTCTTTTTATAAGACAGAGGGAGTATAATTTATCACTCTTACCACACAGTAATTCAGAGCCATTTCAAAGTACTGATATAGAACCACATTGTCTAAACAATAGAGTCATGTCTTACCAAGATAAAGTTTTTAATTGCAGTAAAATACAACTACAAAAAATCATTAAATCTAACACACTCCTTTTGTTGAACAAAAACATATTTTCAAATAATACTCCCAATTTTTAGGGAGAATAGAGTATACCATTCCTACCAAAATCATATTCTCAATTTTCAATACAGTCCATCACTCAAAATGAAGCTCCAAGTCCACTTCAGTTTAGATAAAATGGTGCAGTCCATAATATTCATAAATTTCAAAATCAAAATTCCATTTTTTTCCCACAAAAATCCATTTAAGAGAAAATGAGAGAACTCGATTTATGTAGGGACAGGGACAGAGACAGAGGGAATTAACAAAGAAATCGAAGCATCAAATCCTACAAATAATCATTCCAAACCGCACGGGGAATGATATACCGTTGGGATTCTGGGCGACATCAGCCGCTGTTGGATGAAGGGCCTTCTCGTTCGGATCTGCCCCGCACGAGTCCGCCATGATTAAGGGTTTTGCACTTTTGCGGCTTAAAAAAACCTCTGGGTTTTAGGCAACCTTTCAAAAATCAAAACCTGAGGTGCTTTTGAGTTTTGACAACGGTATTTATTTTACACGTTTCATGTTTGTTCATTTTGCCGGGTCGGGTGAGTGGAATATGACCCGCTGATTTTATTTAAAATATTAATAAGAAATAAAATTTATATATTAAAAAATTATATTAATTTTTTATATCAAATACTGAATAAACTTGTGGTCATAATATCATAGAGCATTGAGGTTACTTTAGATTGTTAGGTTGTGGAGTCTGATGCTTAATGGTTAAGTTTGCTTAATGGTTAAGTTTACTTAATAGTTAAGTAACTAGAGGTGTTGTAATACCTATATATATTCTCCTTTGTAGCTATTTTTTGTGTAGAGGTAAGAGACAAATTTTCTGTAACTGTATCTGCGTGAAATCATCAATAAACACATCTAACCGTCGTGGAAATTTACTTAGAAAGTGTTACCAAATTGGGAAAGGAGGGAATATATTTTAGTACTCCCTCCGTCCTATAATGATCTTCCCAGAGCACTATTCCAACTTCACGGGAATTTATATTTATTTGTGTTTTTTCATGGTCTATATGATAAAATAAAATATTCTTGTCACCACTTGTTTTGTTGAACTTTTGGTGTAGTTTTTAAATATGTATGTTTTATTTTTTTATTTCTATACTAATATTTAAATAAAATAGATTGAAAAAACTTAGGATTTTTCTTCGTTTTGCGAACCGGGAAGATCATTATAGGACGGAGGGAGTATAATTGAAATGACTATTTGACCAATGTTATTATACTCCCTCCGCCCATTTTTAATGTTCGTACTTTTCTTTTTAGTCCGTCCATAAATAATGTTCGTATTTCCTTTTTTGGTAATCTTTTTTATATGAAAAGACCTAATTACTCTTACTTTATTTTTATCCTCTTTTTTTTCTTTTCCCACCTAACTTCTTTTTTTCTTCTTTTTTCTTTCTTTTTTTTTTGAAACATCTTTTTTCTTTCTCTTTTCTTCTTTCCTTCTTCTTTCTTCTTTCCTTCTCCACTTCCGTCATTTTTTTGTTCTGTATCAGATTTCTTCTTCTTCTCTCTCTTCCCTTCTTCGTTTCTCTTCTCTTCTTCCTTCTTCTTCTTCCTCTTCTTGTTCTTCTTTTGATTCTTGTTCTTCTTCGAATTCTACTTCTTATTCTTCATATTCTTCTTCTTCTTCAGATTCTCTGTCTTCTCCTTCGGATTCTTCATCTTCTCCTTCGGATTCTTCGGATTCTCTGTCTTCTCCTTCGGATTCTTCATCTCTCCTTCGGATTCTTCGGATTCTTCGTCTTCTTCTTCTTCGGATTCTTCATTTTCTTCTTCGGATTATTCGGATTTGGCCCAGATCTATGAAATATAATTCAGATCTGTGAAGGATCTTCTTCTTCAAGTCTTCTTCATCTTTTTTTCCAAACTTTTCTGCAACGGATCGCCGCCTCGCCGGAACCTGTGATTTTGGATGATAGGGTTTGGCGGCGGGGCTATGCCGGCGATGGAAGATGTCTGATCGGACATGGGAGTGGGTGACCGTAGAGTGGAGCAGGAAAGTGGGAGTTAGTATATGGTACAACCGGTTGTACCTAAAAATAGGTACATCCGGGTAGTACTCATTCTGAAGTAAAGTAGTACTCATTCTCGCACAAACATAACAATTTATTTAAAATAGCGTGGTACCCATTCTGAGATAATACAGTACTCATTTTGAAATACGTAATACTTATTTGCACACATTTGTACAATATTCATTTATTAATAACGTAATACTCATTCTAAAACCTAGTAATACTCATTCTCAAATAATCTAGTGCTCATTCTTAAACAACATATTATTCACAAAAATCCAAAATCTTACTAACCAAATTGGAATTAGAACATACGGAGTATTTGGAATTAGAGCTTTGCCTGCCAGATCTGCGGATCGGGAGAGCTTCTTCATCGCCGATAGATTTCTCAGATCTTCCTCCTTCCTCCCGACCGATTTTGCCCGAAACTGCAGCAGATCTCCTTCTTCATCGCCTCAGATCGATTTCTTCTTCCGCAGCTCTCCTTCGACGCAGCTTCCGACCCGACCCGACCCTCCTCTTTTCTCTTCCGATCGACGCATTTTCTTCTTTAATTTACCGGCTGTACCCAATNGGAGAGCTTCTTCATCGCCGATAGATTTCTCAGATCTTCCTCCTTCCTCCCGACCGATTTTGCCCGAAACTGCAGCAGATCTCCTTCTTCATCGCCTCAGATCGATTTCTTCTTCCGCAGCTCTCCTTCGACGCAGCTTCCGACCCGACCCGACCCTCCTCTTTTCTCTTCCGATCGACGCATTTTCTTCTTTAATTTACCGGCTGTACCCAATTTTGGGTACAGCCGGTAAGTGGGGGTGGGGAGGGCATAATTGGAAAGTCAATGTAAAATTTAACCTTTCTTAATCTCCGTGCCAAGTCAAAGTCCGAACATTAAAAATGGACGGAGGGAGTAATAATTATCAAAAAAAAGTTTGATAGTGCAGAATACATACTTTATTGAGTTTGTTACAATAAAAATCTTGTTTTGTTCCTAAGTACATTAACAGGGGTTCCAAGGGGGGCAACATCTCGTTGGAGGGGGGGGGGTTGGGTGCAGCGCCTTTCAGAGAATTCAAGTACTGATTCAATAACATATCCCATATTATTTTTCAAAGTGGGTATTAAATATAAGTAAAACTCACAAATTCTGTCAATCCGGAATTTAAATGCACATATGAATGGACACAATATAGTAGTGTGTTTCTTACTAGCTAAATCTTAGCAAGTGATTTTGAGACCTTATATAGTTGTTTACTTGTTTGGGGTTTATTAACTACATGAATGATCACATAAAACACACTATCCATCCAAATTGGTCCTCAAAGTGCAATTGGAGAGCAAAGTCAAAAGAAAGAAATGCACACAAATGAACAAAAGAGACCCACAAAACAAAAGCCATTAACAATAGTACCAGCTTAGGTAAGTAAGTCATTCAACAACAAAAAAAACCAGATCCAAAAAAACAAAAAGGATCCAATCAGTTTCAAAAGAGACTCCAAAAACAAAAGAGCATGGAGCTTGGGTTGTTTAGAGAATGCTAAAACCAGCAGAGAGGAAGATGATGTACATATCTAAAGTCGGCATGGGCTTCCCAAGCCTCCAGCTTCTGCAACACATGATGGCATTCATCAACTGAGGCCCCGTGGTAACTATAGAAACAACCGGGTGTCTGTTTTCAACATGATAGTAAGCATCGTACGAGGTTGCAACCGAGACCGGAATAGCCAAAACTTCGCGCGCAACTTTGGACACGTTTGGGTACTTTGGGCTTTCAGCTTTCCACCATTTCAACACCTTGAACTTCCCTTCGCGTGCCAAGACCGGCTCCTCTAGATACAAATCCAAATCACACTTACTAGTGGCTTTCATAGCTTCGCCACATTCGTTGCTTGGATTATAATGTTCATAAACACTTCTTACAGTCTCCAAAACATCACTGGTTTGAGGTATTCCTTCTATGTCTTCGAATTTGGTTGAGACTTCGACTATAAACTGCATTTTGCAACGTGGGTCCATCACGGATGCGACTGCCAATACCAGATAGTTCTTTCTTATGTACTTGTCAAGCCTCTTAAGCATCTTATTTGCAACCTTGCAAGTGAAAGCGTCTGGGCTACTCGCTTCAACAAGCAAACTCGCACGAAGCTCCTGAAGATGATACAGAAACAAGTTAGCTGTTGAGGTTTTGACCTCAAACAGCTGTTTTGCAGCATCATAGGCATGTTCAACCAGTCTATGGACGACACGAACTTTCTCCCACTGTTGGGCAGATGGAACAGGAAAATCTTTTCTTACAGATTCTGAATTGAACTCTCCAAGTGCTTCCATGTCCAGAGCACGTTTGAGCTTTGAATTCGTGATGTGCCACGACCAATGCAGTTCTTTGAGATCGCTGATGATGTCGGATATGTCTTCGAATGCATCTTGAGCCATCAAACCAAACATGTCAGCACAACACCTCACCGAAAACACACGAGAATCATATGCCAATCGGTTCTTCTCCTCGAATTTGGACTTGATCAATTGGATCGCGTACGGGCACGCATCGATTCTCCTAGAGGTGAAAGTGAACACCTTATCATCATTGAGATTCCAGTCATTGAGCGCTTTCACAACAAACTCATCCATAGTACCTGCAAGATATCGCCGGAAACAAAGGTTCCATTTCCTCAGCTTCCAGTCATCGTCAATGAAGTGTGCTGATAGGCAAGCGAAATCGGGGCCCACGTCGTACCGCCTGTAGTGGGTCAACACGTCGACCGAAAGAGGAATCAACCGGCCCGTCCGATTCAACTCGCGCTCGATCTGAGGCTTTGCCTCTTCAAAAACAGCCAAGCAATCCTTCTTGATAGCCTCCTGGCCCAATTTCAAAGAAGGGCATTGCCTCTTCATCAGATTCACGAAATTCTCATTCTTCGCGAAATGAGGATTCACGTCCTGAAACATGATGAAGTTGGTAATGCCGCGCAGCATTCTTTCCGGATCATACACGGGAACATCATTAGAACAAACTTCTTCCTCGTAATCCTCTTCCTCATCAATCTCATCTCCTTCGAATTCATGGTGACTGGAATCATCTTCTGCTACAAAATTACAAGAACACAATCATTTGCCAATGTTAGGCTTCAACTCAAGGTGGAAGGAGGGGGAATCAGGGCTGAATGGATTCAGGGAGACAGTAGGTGTCTTGGGTTTGTTTTGGAAGAAGATTTAAGTAAAGAGATGGAAGTATTTAGAGGAGGGATTTCCTGATAAGAAAATGGCAGCAAAGGGAGGATAGGTTTTAGACTATATTTTGTATAAGGAAGGGTGAAAATGAGTTGTATTTAGAGGAGGGAATGGAGGGGCTGAGTTGAAGAAAAAAAAAGGGCAGGAGTTTCTTTTGGTGTTTTTTTTTTGATAAACCAAGTTGGTTTAAGAGATATTACACACTCTTATCCTTACTTGGGGTTGGAGTCTAGCATTCAAATAAGATATTACACACTCATTTAAATACCTAGAACCTAAAACTCACACTCAAGAGAACCACTCTCAAGATATAGATTTAGGAATTTAAATAGCAAACACAATAAGTGTATTACTAAAGAAAAGGAGAATACATT